GGACGCATCAGTCTTTTGGGGGTGAGGATGGGGACCCAGGCAGCCAGGGGACGCATCAGTCTTTTGGGGGTGAGGATGGGGACCCAGGCAGCCAGAGGACGCATCAGTCTTTTGGGGACTGAGGATGGATACCCAGGCAGCCAGGGGCGTGAGCAGCAAGCTTAGGTGAGCTCTGTGGGCAGAGTATGGCTATGGTCCCCAGTTGGGTTAGAACCCCAGCACCCCTTGAGCCCTGCTTCCTGGGCCTGAGGCAGCTGGCACAGGGCTGACCTCACAAGCACCAATCCCCACCTCTCTTGCTGTCCTCCGCCTTGGGAGCATTGACACGGCCTCCAGGCCAGCGTCCGGCCCAAGAGGAGGGACCGTGTGGAGCCATCCACATGTTCGGGCTGGTGTGCCTTGACCAGCACCGTGTGATTGAGAGCTTGGTCACAAACAAGGAGCCTGGGTGCAGGGTGAGACTGTAGTGTGGGCTGTGGACACAACCACAGCTGAATGCCGGGTGAGACTTGAGTGTCGGCCATGGACAGAGAGTCACAGCTGAGCACCGGGCTGCTGGGCGTCTGACCTCTCAGGCTGCGTCTGAGTCGTGGGGTTCTTGGTGGGACAGTCTCATCTCACCCACATGAGCCAGGGTTGACCGTGCTACCTGGCATTGTAGAGACCGGTGTCACACTGACCCTCTGTAACAAGCCACGACATTTAGAGACCCATTTGCTTTCAAACTGGGGACTAAGGGATTGGAGGTATATTGTCTCCAGTATATAAATGTGCCCTGAACTCAGCGCAGGAAGGGCTGATCAAGCAATCCTGTCTGGCTGGGAGCGGGGAGCTGGGGGCCAGCTGGGGGCCTGGGGTGGATGGTGGCAGCCTGAGGCCAGGCCCAGGCCCCAGCAGGTTGGGCCAGAGCTGTGACCTGGAAATGTCATCCTCAACTGAGCTGGAGCCACTGAATTCCCATGGCTGAGGCCACGGAGGCCTCAGGAGCAGCCGCCAGGAGCCAGCTCCATGTCAGAGGCCCGACCCTGAAAGAAACCAGACTCCCCTTATCTGCCTTCCTTTCCCAGACACACTGCGATAAGAGAGTTAAATGCTTTAGGGAGAAGTTTGAATCCCGTCCTTTCAAACGGTGGTGTCAGTGGAGGAGGCCGGGTCAGCCGTGTGAATCGTCTTAGGATGGGGCTCTGGCCCTGCGTAGGCTTTGTCCCCACGGATGGGTCCATGCAGTTCAGGCAGCACTCAGAAGGCCTGAAATATTCGTCCTCCCCCACAAAAATGTTTAAAAGCTTTTCCAATACGAAGGTCCCTGAAATCAGACTTATCACCCCGGGCCTGGGCTCCTTCATGGGGCACCTCCCCCTTCTCAAAACAAAGCTGACGTGGGGACTCTTGGGGAGTACCAGGCCAGCTTGACAGGACCTGTCCCCAGCGCCAGGTCTTTCCAGCGATTTCTGCCCGGTCGCAGATCGGAGGTGCCTCCCTGGTTTCCTTCCCAATGACCGAGGCAGCTGCCCCGAACAGAGCACCGCAGTAGCCTACTGAGGGGTCTGCGGACACAGCTCGTTCCAGCCCAGCCCTCTGGTTGAAGAGCTCTGAGTTCTGTGAAGGTCCCGCTGGGTGGTGGCCCCAGTCCCACCCCTTTTCCTCATCCTTGTTGTCTAAGACAGAGCCTGTGGGCCAGGGCACCCACTGACCCAGGCCCTGGGAGATAAGTTGCCTGAGTTGTCCTCTCTGCCCCCTAGAAGGCTAGAGCACTTTGTGGACAGAGCCCTGGCTTGGGGTAAGAGACCTGAGTCCCATACTTTGACTCTGCCGCTGCCTCTCCCCATCTGTGTGATGATGGGTTGGAGGGTGATCTCAGAATAGCCCCTTGATCCTTGACCCAAGGCCTGGGCAGAGCCCTTTCCCCAGGTGAGGAATGCTTCTTCTAGTCTTGGGGCAGGGGAGCTTGGGAATCTGGGCTCAGCCCTGCATCCCAGCCCCTTCCCCTCCTCCCTTAGCAGGGATCTAGCCATCTGGTATAGCACCTGGTCCCCTGGCGCACTGTGGGGGTTGCTGAGGGGACTGCAACGTGCAAGGACAGGCATCTGTGGGGGACCCCCCTCCCCACCCACCCGTAGAGACACACATTTCCTGGGAAAATGGTTTCGCCCTTAGCCTTTCCCCCCAGGGCCCTGCCTGGGCCTGTGGAACCTGTCGGATGAGAGCAGGGGCGTGGGGCGGGGGGCATGGAGACCCCAGAGCCAGAGCCCTGGTGACAGTAGGGGCCGGGCTTCCAGCTGGATTGGCTGGTTCTCCTCTCTCTGCCGACATGGCTGGCATGGCCGACATGCCTGGGGGGATGCCCATTCTGCTGTGCGTGCCTTGAGACTCAGGGCTCTTCTCCTGTGTTCCTGAGGACCGCCCTGGCCTCTCCTCCTCCCACTTGTGAATCAAGAGCTGAGGGGTCACCTCCTCTCCAAGGCTGGCTCTCCCCAGGCTCTGGGTCCTGTCCGCTCTGAGCTCTCCAGGGTCCCCACCCCACAGAGGTCCCCTCACCTTTCTCAGCATATAAATGTGGTCTTGCCTCTTCCCTCTGGAAAAACCCCTCAGACCTTTTCCCCCAGCTCCACTCAGGGCTAAAGTCACTTTGCTGCCTTCATTTCCCTGGGACTTCTCCCCTAGGCCTCTCCTGTCCCCGCCGACCCTTGTCCCATGCTTCTAAGCACCTGTGGCCTCTTCTTTTGCTGAACTCAATGGACACCTGATTGCATTTCCTCTTCACCTTTTCCTCGACCCCAGGCTGCCTTTGGGCGAAACTGGCTTTTTTTTCCCTTTTGTTTTGAGACGGAGTCTCACTCTGTTGCCCAGGCTGGAGTGCAGTGGTCAATCTCCGCTCACTGCAACCTCCACCTCCTGGGTTTAAGCGGTTCTCCTGCCTCAGCCTCCCGAGTAGCTGGGATTACAGGCACCTGCCACCATGCCTGACTAATTTTTGTATTTTTAGTAGAGACAGGGTTTCACCATGTTGACCAGGCTGGTCTCGAACCCTGGACCTCAAGTGATCCACCCGCCTCAGCCTCCCAAAGTGCTGGGATTATAGGCATGAGCCACTGCGCCCGGCCCCGTGCCTGGCTTCTGGATTCACTTCCTTCCTGGCCTTGGCTTTCTCACGGTTCTTCAAGGGTTCCTCCTATCTCTCTGGCTGCTCCCCATTCTCTGCTGACTGCTCTTTTGCTTCCTGAAATGTGGGGACCTTATCCCAGGGGCCCCAAGCTGCTCTTCCTCTGCGGGACTTCCAGGAGCCCAGTGCATGCCCTGACTTCTGTTTTCAACATGCTCATCCTTGTTTCTCTCTCTCTCTCTCTCTCTCTCTCTCTTTATTTTTTGGCAGAGTCTTGCTCTGTCACCCCAGGCTGGAGTACAGTGGTGCCATCTCAGCTCACTGCACCCTCCACCTCCCAGGTTCAAGTGATTCTCCTGACTCAACCTTCCAAGTAGCTGGGATTACAGGTGCCCGCCACTACGCCCAGCTAATTTTTGTATTTTTAGTAGAGACGGGGTTTCACTGTGTTGGCCAGGCTGGTCTCAAACTCCTGACCTCGTGATCCCCCCGCCTCGGCCTCCCAAAGTGCTGGGATTACAGGTGTGAGCCACCGTGCCCGGCCTTATCCTTCTTTCCTCTTTAAACTCCAGACTCAAAAATTCAACTACCTCCTCAGTTCCCTGATGTTCCAGGTGCCCCATGCCCTCATCATGCCCTAGCTGAAACCCCTATTTACCCCTAAACCTGTCCTGCCCCACCAAGCCTGGGCCTGGAAGAGGCTTGGCACCCTTCCTCTTCCATATCCGCACAGTCTCCTGGCCCATCCCTTTTCCCCAAAGCTCCCAGTCCTTCTTGCCCATGGCCCTCCCAGTGCCCCATCTCCCCTCCCCGGTTCCTGCCCAGAACTAGAGAAGTGTCTTGCCGTCTGGTCTCCTCCACCGTGCCCCTCTCTGACATCTTCTGGAAGGTGTTCCTGAAACACAGAGCTGAGGACCGTGGGTTCCTTCCTGAGGTGTCGAGGACCCCGGGCAGGCAGCCTGGGTGCACTGCTCCATCTGCCTGAGTCCCGGGCGGGCATCCTGGGTGCGCTGCTGCATCTGCCTGAGTCCCGGGCGGGCATCCTGGGTGCGCTGCTCCATCTGCCTGAGTCCCGGGCGGGCATCCTGGGTGCGCTGCTGCATCTGCCTGAGTCCCGGGCGGGCATCCTGTGTGCGCTGCTGCATCTGCCTGAGTCCTGGGCGGGCATCCTGGGTGCGCTGCTCCATCTGCCTGAGTCCTGGGCGGGCATCCTGGGTGCGCTGCTCCATCTGCTTGAGTCCTGGGCGGGCGTGGTCAGATACCTGTGCCTTGATGTCTCTGCAGAAGCAGACACTGACCGCTCTGCTGGGTGTGCCCTCCCTTGCTCATCCTCCGGGCTCACTCTGGATGTGGCTGAGGCACTGCTGGCTCTGAGAGGCCCTCCTTCCTCCGATGGGTTGGGTGGAGCCTGTGCCAGACATCCTTATGCTGACATGGCCCCCTCTGTTCACGAGCCTGGCTCCCCTACCAGATGGATTCCCCACGGCAGGGCGTGCGCCTCCTGCCCTGGCTGCGGGAGGAGCTGAGCCCTCTGGGCCAGGGCTGCGTCACCATTTGCCTGGAAACATTGTAGACCAGGGCATCTACAAGACGCACAGCCGACCCCTCAAGCCGCTAGTCCTGGGGTCTCGGTGGAGCCCCTACGAGCCCCACAGACACTGTCAGCCCTTCACACGCCTTTGCTGTGAGCAGGGGAGCAGGACCACGGTTGAGAACTTCTCCCCTGGCCACAAGTCCCAGCTGGCTTCCGCCGTATAGCCTTGGGCAGGGCACGTGCCCCCTTGGAGCCCTCAGGTCCCATCCGTCAAATGGCTCTGACAGCATCTACTGCGAGAACAGAAGCTGGTTGGCATAAGGGGTGTGCCCGGAAGAAGGGCTGGATGCTGGGCGGATGCCAAACGTTGCTCGCCTAGCCTGCTCCCGTTTCTCAAACGGGGAAACTGAGACCCTGAGGGGAAGTGATGTGGCCCAGGTCACAGGGGTGGGTGGCAGCACGGCCTGGATCCCAGGTTCCCCACTGGCTCCTGGTCTTGGCTGTCTGCCCCCACCTGCCCCACCCACTCCTACCACCCAGTTGGGATAGGTGAGTCGCCTGCAGCTGATCAGGCTCTGAACGGCCGGGTAAATCGTGTCCCGGCCACCCATGCACGGGCCTCAGCATGATCGGGGCGCTGTTGCTTTTCGTTGGCGCAGAAGGACCTGGTGTCACTGGTTCCTGCTGCCCCTGCAAGGGCAGCCATGCCAGCCTGGCCCAGGTGAGAGGGGCAGGGGGCCAGGCACTCCTGACCATCATCTGGTCCAGCCTGGGGGAAAGGGTGAGGTGGCCTCACCTACTTTGGAACCCTCAATCTTGATGTCTGTTCTCAGCTTTTTGGGACTCTGGGAGGAGCCCAGTGGAGGTATTTGCCTCCCAGGATCTTGCCAGAACCAGGAGGGGGTTTGGGGCGGGCAGCTTCTGGGGGTGGGCAGCTTCCCATGGCTGACGGGTTCTCGGTGCGGTTTGTGTCTCTGTAGAGTCTGGATTACGATGAGGCCAGTGAGTCGGAGATGAAAAAGGCCTTAAACTCCTGCATCGTGGAAAATGGGCACCAGCTGGGGGCAGGTAGGGCTGAGGGCAGCGGAGGGGTGGCTGGGTAGGTTTGGGGGTTTAGTGAGGCCTTGGTTGTGTATATGCGCCAGGCCAGCCCTTGGCCTGGGGTGGGGGGACTCTAGCCTGAACTCCAGCGGGCAGAGAGGCTGCCAGGAGAGCAGCGTCATTCAGTAGAACTTTTGAAACACAGAGGAAAGTCGGGAGATCTCGGTTGGTAGTGAGCTCTCCCATTTCTAGAAGAAAGCAAGTAGAGGCTGAGGAATTTTTCTAAGCACTGAATAGGGTAGAGAGTGGGCTGGTGAGCCAACTAGTATTTATGAAGCTGGCCATGAAGGGAAGCTGGGAAAATCAGCTCTGGTTGGAGCAGTAGGATATCCCTGGTAGGAGGTTAGGGAGGCTGGAGCAGTTAGGGAGGCATTCCTGGAGGAGGTGGGGGGAAGGTTCAGGGAGGCTAGAGCCCTTCTGGGAGGTCTTAGGCCCCTGTGGCTGCCACAGCTGACCACCCACCCATGCTGGTCACATGTTCCAGGTCCAGGCGATGGTCCCCCCGAGGTTGCCCAAACCTTCCAGGCACCAGATCCCCCCAGGCCTCGCCCCGTGAGTCTCTCCTTGCGGCTGCCCCACCAGCCAGTCACAGCTGTCACCCGAGTCTCTGACAGGTTCTCTGGGGAGACCTCAGCTGCGGCTCTATCACCCACGTCTGCTGCCACCCTGGGGGGCCTCAACCCGAGCCCCAGCGAGGCCGCCCCGTCCTGGACTCCGAGTCCTAGCGGTAGGAGCAGGACAGTGTGGCCTTGGGATGGGAGTGGGAGGGCCGGGGCTGGGGAGGGGGAGTCGGTGGGTGACTTGCAAAACGAGGGACCAAGCCCAGCCCTGCCTCTGCCTGCCATGTCTGCCCCTCCCCTTAGCCCATCCTCCCAGGCTTCTGCCCAGAGATGCTGAGAAATAGCGTCATCCCCTGGTAGGGGTGACCGTGGCTTTTATTACAGGTGGAGGCCACAGTTGAAAGGTGGCTCTTGCCCTGCACGTTGGCACTGTCCCCTCCCTCAAGGCCCCAGGCCTGATGTGGCCTGTGGTCAGGCCTCTGTGCTGTGTCCTGGCGGAGGTGGCATGGGCCTCTGTGGGACAGATTTGGGAGCTGTGTTTGCCAGATACATGGCACGGGCCCTGAGCTCTGCTCTCTCAGGAGCAGGGCGGGGACAGCTGAAAAGATCTCTTTGATGTTGTTGTGGCGAGTGCCTATCTTCCTTTCTCTGCCACTGTCACTGAGGCAGGGCTGGCTTAGCCCAGAAGGTTCATTCATCCACAAAGTGATGCTGGGTCGGAGGAAGGGAGGCTGTGGTGGCCCTCCCTGGGCGGGGGTGTGTCACTTCTCTCCGTCTGTCTGTTCCACAGAGAAGAGTTCCTCTTTCACGAGGTCTGTGTCAAGCTCTGGCTACGGGGCAGTGACAGCCAGCAAACACAGTGACAGGTGGGTCAGGGCCCCTGTTCCCGCGCAGGCGCCACAGCCCAGGCGTCTTCTCGGCGTTGGACGCTGGCCGCCCAGGGGTTGGCGTCTCCATGGAAGGCTCGGGGCTGGATCTCTGGAGCACTGGGCGGCACGGTTGGGGGAAGGTGTGAGCAGGGAGTGGGGCAGTGGGGCTGGGTGGAGAGCTTCATTTGGAGAAATGTGGCCACAGGCTGGTTTCTTTGTGGACCCTTCAAGTCAGTCAAAAGATTGGAGGAGGAGCCGGGCACCGTGGTGCACGCCTGGAATCCCAGCACTGTGGGAGGCCAAGGCGGTGGATCACCTGAGGTCAGGAGTTCAAGACCAGCCTGGGCAACGTGGTGAAACCCCGTCTCTATAAAAATACAAAAATTAGCTGGGCGTGGTGATGGATGCATGTAATCCCAGCCACTTGGGAGGCTGAGGCAGGAGAGTCACTTGAACCTGGGAGGCGGAGATTGCAGTGAGCCGAGATGGCACCACTGAACTCCAGCCTGGGCGATAGAGTGAGACTGATTAAAAAAAAAAAAAAAAAAATTGGAGGAGGTGTCTTGGCCGGCAGGAGGGGGAGGACAGGAGCATGGTCTTCTTCCATCCCAGCCCGCTGGGGTCCCTTGGAGCCAGGAACTTCCTGCCCACGGGCTGCGGGCAGGGACAGGTGAGCCGGGCCTTCCCTGCGGCGCAGGCCTCCCCCCTCTGCCCAGCGGGACTGTAATTCGGGGTGGGGGTGGGGTAGCGGGCTTGGCTTTTTTTTCTTTAATAATAAAAGGAGAATTGTGACTTCCTGGCAAACGGTTTCAGAGGAAACAGAGGGGTCTTATCTCACGGTGGTGGAGGCAGGAGGCCTGGCCCCACCGGGCTGGTTCTGGGCACACCTCCTGCCTGAGGAGGGGGTCCCCTGTCCTCCCAAAGCACCGACACCTGCCAAGGGGTGGTGATGTCCCGAGAGGGGACTGGCGTCCCTCCTGAGTTGGGCCTATGGGCCAGGCCCACCAGGCAGCACAGTTCAGAAAACCTGCCAAACTGGCAGGGGTCCGGAGCAAGGGGGCTCCTCTCTGAGCGCCCATCACGGTGCAGCTTCCTTGTTACACCCAGTGGGATGGAGACCCCGGGGCCTGCTGAGCTAGTGACGGCTGCTGGGCCCACACCCCAACTTGGCAATTCTCTCCTCAGCCCACCGCTGGTGACACCACCCCAGTCGCCCATGTCCCCGCAGCCGCCAGCCACAACTCAGGTCCATCGGCCGGGGGAGCGTCGCAGGGAGCTGGTGAGGTCGCAGACGCTGCCCCGCACCTCGGGGGCGCAGGCCCGGAAGGCATTGTTTGAGAAGTGGGAGCAGGAGACGGCGGGCAAGTACGGATGCCCACTCACAGATGGGGAGGGGAAGCACGGATGCCCACTCACAGACGGGGAGGGGAAGCACGGATGCCCATTCACAGACGGGGGGGAAGTACGGATGCCCACTCAGACGGGGAGGGGAAGTACGGATGCCCATTCACAGATGGGGGGGAAGTATGGATGCCCACTCACAGATGGGGAGGGGAAGCACGGATGCCCATTCACAGACGGCGAGGGGGGTGAAGTACGGATGCCCACTCACAGACGGGGAGGGGCAGTACGGATGCCCACTCACAGACGGGGGAGGGGTGATACGGATGCCCACTCACAGATGGGGTGTTCCCCCAGTGTGCCCACACCCAGGCAGGGGCTGGGTGGGCGCTGAAGAGCCAGGTTCAGCCCTGTCCTGTTCCCCAAGACAAGATCTCTTGGGCAAGGCACAAAGTTAGGGCTGGGCCACAGGACAGATTGGGGGAACGGGGGCTCCAGTTGTTGGGGTAAGAGGGCTGTGAGGCATGGGGCCGGGCCTGGTGAGGGCCCCTCTCTCCTCCTCCATTACCGGGGCACCCTGCTATGTCCCCAGTGCCCCCAGGCTGCCCTCATACCCACATTCCCCATGAGTTGTGGCTCCTTTAGTTTCTGGGCAAGACTGGGGACTGGATGGGGACCGAGATTCCTGGCGGGAGCTGGGAGGCCCAGCGTGGGGTTGGCCTCGCCCGAGGATTGCAGATGCCCTGGGACCGAATGCCCTGCAGCCCGCTACCAGGCCTCGAGATGAGGGCTCCAGGCCTCGAGGCTCCCTGGGCTCCAGCCACCTCTGCATATTCAGCCTGTCTTCGCGTCAGTTCCTGGTATTGATGCCTGCTGTGTGCAGGGAGTGGCCCAGGCCTTGTGGGATAATGGAGATGCCAGCCAGTCCCTGCTCAACTCTAGTGAGGGAGGCCAACTGAGGACGTGTCCCCACTCACCCCAAACAACCTGGTCCCGACCATTACAGACTGTCCTTGGGGCCAGAAGAGGAAATCATTCCTCCTGGCTAGGAAGGAGCCATCAGGGAAGGAGGCCCTCCATTAGAAGGGGGGCTCAGAAGGAGGCGGGGGAGGAAGGAGCAGGGAAAGGAGTTCCAGGCAGAAGGCAGGGCCTGGGACTATGTGGGTGGGCCAGTGTCTTCTGTCTCAGGATTCCCAAGGGACCCCTGCTTCCTGCGGTGGGAAGTAGACAGGGGACCTGGAGGGCAGTTTGGGTTGAGGATGGTCCCACCGCATACCATCAAAGGAGGCTATGTGGCTGGTGTACGGGGCCGTGCTGTGGACATGGGCATAGCTGAGCCTGCATGCTGCCAGCATCTCTCCTGGGTGAGCAGAGGGAGGGGGGCCTCCTCCCTGGGGGTGCAGGGACTGCCTCCCCTGTCCTGGACTCGCAATGGGAGATGGTGGCTGGCAGCTCCTGCAGCAGGCCTGCGCTCTCTCTGCAGGGGGAAAGGTGAGGCCCGGGCCCGGCTGAAGCGATCGCAGAGCTTCGGCGTGGCCAGCGCCAGCAGCATCAAGCAGATCCTGCTCGAGTGGTGCCGCAGCAAGACGCTGGGCTACCAGGTGAGCCAGGCTCCCTTCCGGCTGCTGGGACTGCCCCCCACACTGACCAGGGGCCTGACCAGGCATTGCCCCTGTCCTTGTTCTCTGGCCTGGGCAGGAGCCTGCTGAGGCTAAGGTTAAGGGATGGGAGCCACAGTCATCATGCCTTCTCAGTGGCTGCCTGACTGCCCGCAGCGTGTGCTGAGAAACTCCAGGTATCCGTGTCTGGGCCCCGCGCTGACCGCATTCCCCTCCCATAGCACGTGGACCTGCAGAACTTCTCCTCCAGCTGGAGCGATGGCATGGCTTTCTGCGCCCTGGTGCACTCCTTCTTCCCCGACGCCTTCGACTACAACTCCCTGAGCCCCACGCAGCGGCAGAAGAACTTCGAGCTGGCCTTCACCATGGCCGAGTGAGTGTGGTGGCTCCTGCTGGCTGCCAGCCCCAGCCCGGTCCCTGAGCCCAGCTGTTTCCCCAGGGGGGGCATGGGGCGAGTGGATTGTGGGGCAGCTGTCTGCAAAGCTGAAGGACCCCGAGGCCATGTGGTCTGTCTACCTCTCGAGCAGATGGGAAGACTGAGGCCTGGAGAGGGATGTTCTGAGTCATGCAGCACTCAGTGGGGGAGGGGACTCTGTTTCTGGGATACCTGCCCTCTTTGCTGGGCGCCCAGCTTCTGGGGTGCACTCTGGGAGATCAGCCACAGATCAGGCATGAAGGGCAGCTGGACAGAGTCCCCCAGAGCTCTGAATCTGTCCTCTCTGGACTGATGCAGAGATGCCGTTGCTCGCCTGACCTACAGCGGCCAGTTAGCAAGAAATTGATTACTCTCCAGGCCACTTAAAGGGAGATTTTTAATTAGCCAGGCATGGCGGTATGTGTCTATAGTCCCAGCTGCTTGGGAGGCTAAGGCAGGAGAATTGCTTGAACCCGGGAGGCGGAGGCTAAAGTGAGCTGAGATCAAGCCACTGTACTCCAGCCTGGGTGACAGAGTGAGACTCTGTCTAAAAAACAAAAAGCAGATTTTGCTTCCAATCAGATTTTCCTTCCCTAAACCGTGTTCTGGCATTGATTGTGAAATTGCCTCGCTGCTTAGGTCCCACTCCTGGGGTGAGGATGGGGGTGGCTCTGGGCTCAAGAGGCACCTGGAAAGCGAGTTTGGGATTTGGTTATTGGCTGAAGGCCTCAGGAAAGGTGGCAAAGTTAGGGGCTCCAGCGGCGCACAGGGGCACAGTCAAAAACTGGGCGAGGAGAGTTTCATACAGGGACTCTTGACAAAGGCGCAGGCAGGAATGAGGCAGAGGGCCAGGCCCTGAGCAGCAGCCTCAGGAGCACAGCAGTGTGTGGTCAGCAGCCCGTGGCCTGGGTGGAGAGGACGGTCTGATGAGGGCCATGATTGGGCAAATGGTTGCAGTCAGCTCGCTGTGACCTGGCAGGGAGGCAGCTATGGGATGAGTGCCCAACCTCACTCCCCTCCTGCCTCATGCCAGGGCCTCTTGGGGACTGAACCCAATAGGAAGACAGAGGGCCAGGAGCCATGGCTGTGGTTCATCCTGGCCCCCAGGGCAGGGAGCAGGGCACAGATGAGTGGTGTTTGGGGCTGCCCGACGCTAAGCTCTCTGAAGCTCAGAGAGAAGTAAGGTCATCCCCAAAGCCAAGCCTTCTGGAGGGCGGGTTTGCTGTTCTCTCCCTGCCTTTGTGTCCGCTGGCGTCAGCCTCTGACGTCGGTCTGCAACTGACCATGTCTGTTTCTGGTGTGGGTCCTCAGTGCCCACATTTAAGAGCGGTCCTCACCGAGCAGGGTGCAGTGGCTCACACCTGTCATCCCAGCACTTTGGAAGGCCAAGGCGGGCGGATCACCTGAGATCGGGAGTTCAAGAGTAGCCTGTCCAACATGGAGAAACCCCGTCTTTACTAAAAATACAAAATTAGCCGGGCGTGGTGGCGCATGCCTGTGATCCCAGCTACTGAAGAGGCTGAGACAGGAGAACTGCTTGAGCCCAGGAGGCGGAGCTTGCGCTGAGCCGAGATCACGCCATTGCACTCTAGCCTGGGCAACAAGAGTGAAACTCTGTCTGGAAAAAAAAGAAAAAGAAAAAAAGAGAGTGGTCCTCATGGGCTTGTTGGGTTGAAGGAGCCTCACCCCAGGCCTCACCTGCCTTCCCCGCTCCTTTCCCGGCCCAATCATCGGGCCTTGGCCCCGGCCCACCTCCCCGGACCCTGAGCCTGGCCAGGGAAGGAACGAAAGCCAGAATACCCACACGTGGTACTCTAAGTCTCGCTTTGACCTGAGACAGCCGCCCCTGTCTGGGGCAGCCACTCTCACTCAGGGGGCAGAATTGAGACGCTGGCTCTGAGCTCCTTGGTGTGAGTTTTTGGAATCTTGGTATCAGCCCTGTTGGGTTGCCTTGGATGACGCGCTTGGACTCAGTCCCCTGGGGTCACAAGAGCTCCTTGTATACTTGAAAAGCCTTTCTGTCTTGGCTGCTTGGGGTCAGCTGTCATCCTAATTCAGAAACAGCTCTGGCCGAGCGTGTTGCATAACTGGATGCAGACGATGGGGTGGTGGAGCCAAGCGGAGTGCGTGGCGCGGGAAGCAGGCAGCTCCCGAGGAGGGGGCCCAGCTGCCAAAGCCCAGATGGGGCACCCGCCAACAACCAGACTGTCAGAATATGCAGGGCCAGGGCCTTGGGGCGCGCACCCCAGCACCCACCCCAGCGGAGAGGCCACACTGTCTTTCAGGGTTCTTTGTTCGTCGTCTAAGTCCAGTGTGGTGCCCGCTTATGTCCTGGCCACCTCGGTCACCCTCCGCCTTGGACCAGGCTAGGCTGTGGCAGGGAGAGAGAGGATGCCGCGGGCCATGGGGTGGTGGCTCCGTGCCCCAGCCTGCAGGGAACACAGCTCCCCTTGGCAGCCGGAGCCAGGGCGACTCCAGGTGGTGCTTCCCCAGCACAAGGTTTGGGTCCAGGGAGCCTCTACACTCCAAACAGATGTTTCTGCTATTCCCAGCCTGGTGGGGTGAGGGGGAGGCGGCGGCGAGGCTGGTCCAGGTTTTGCCTGCTGCCTTCCCGGAGCACACAGCAGGGTAAATCGCCGGCCTGGCCTCCCTGTGGCCGGAGCCTGCTCCGGCTGTGGAGGGGGGCAGGGAGGATGGGTCTGCCCAAGCTGCTGAGATGAGTTCTTGCTTTACTGCTGACTCGAGGGGGGTGGGAAGAGGCGTCCACTGCAGGCCTGTGCCAGGGTTGGGGGTGGGGGTTTGCTTAGAGCCTGGGAAGGCACCTCCCCTCATGACTCATCACAAGATTATCTCCCAGGTACTGGGGGAGAGGGCTGGGAAGACTGACTCGCCTGCTTGGGGCCTCCTGGGGAGAAGGCAGCTTGGATCACCTCCTTTCCTAGACAATAGGCTGCTTAGAAGAGCTGGCGGGAAAGCGCAGGGACACCCACCTGAGGATGCTGGCTGTCATGTCCTCACCCATATTCCTGAGGTTTGCAGCAAAGGCTGAGCAGACATGTGCTGCTGGAAGCCACCCAGGGTGTGCAGGCAGCAGGACCACGGGGCTGGGAAGGGACCGCAGGGCCGGGAAGGGAGCATAGGGCGGAGAAGGGAGCACAGGGCCGGGAAGGGAGCACAGGACAGGGGAGGGAGCACAGGGCCGGGGAGCACAGAGCTGGGAAGGGAGCACAGGGCCGAGAAGGGAGCACAGGGCGGAGAAGGGAGCACAGGGCCGGGAAGGGAGCACAGGACAGGGAAGGGAGCACAGGGCCGGGAAGGCAGCACAGGTCTGGGAAGGGAGCACAGGGCAGAGAAGGGAGCACAGGGCTGGGAAGGGAGCACAGGGCCGGGAAGAGAACACAGGGCCAAGAAGGGAGCACAGGCTGAGAAGGGAGTGCAGGGCTGAGAAGGGAGCACAGGCTGAGAAGGGAGCACAGGCTGAGAAGGGAGTGCAGGGCTGAGAAGGGAGCGCAGGCTGAGAAGGGAGAACAGGGCCGGGAAGGGAGCACAGGGCCGGGAAGGGAGCACAGGGCCGAGAAGGGAGCACAGGCTGAGAAGGGAGGACGGGGTGGAGAAGGACAGCCTGGGCAGACAGGGTGGGACAACAGGAGCATGGGGTCTGATAAAGGCAACCTCTGGAAGGGAAAGGAGGACACAGGTCCCCAAACCACGGGTTCCCCTTGCAGGAGAAAGGAAACCTTTCCGCCAGCAAACGCCTTAAAGGCAGGAGGATGCATCAGTGACCTTTGGAGTGAAAGTGGTGTGTGTTTCCCCTCCCCCACCCGCACCTGATGATTTATGGCCTCAGAGATTCCCCACAGCCTAATCCGTGTGAATGATGCGGTGCTGACAGCGCAGCGAGCTTCCCTTGCCTCACAGGTGTCCGGGATCTGGAACGAGCGAGGACCAGCCCCTTTTATGGAAGACGCCCTTCTGCACCGGTCCCCTCCGCCTCCTTGGAGGCAGAGCGCAGGACGTGCAGCCCCAGGCTCCCCACTTGCCCTGCGGGGAATGTGTCCTGCTCTCGGGTTTCGCTGGAGCAGAAGGGGCTTCCAGGCTATTTGTAGTGCCCATGTGTCTCTGTCTAAAACCAGATAGGAGGTACTAGTCCGATTCCTGGCATCCTTGCCTGCATTGAGAGCAGGCATAAAAAAATAAAAATAACCCCCAGACCCCTCCTCCAGCGCCTTTCCAGGCCAGCTCGAGACAGAGTAGCAGAAACCCTTTCCGTCTTTTCCCCAGCCGACCGACGCGGGGTGCAGGCAAAGGCACTTTAAAAATGGTAGTGAGCCCCGGGCTTATGCATGCAGTCCCATCCTGGCACTTCGGGAGGCCAGAGCGGGTGGATTGCTTGAGTTTAGGAGTTCGAGACCAGCTTGGGCAACGTGGCCAGACCCTGTCTTTACAGAAAATACAAAAAATTAGCTGGGTGTGGTGGTGCACACCTGTGGTCCCAGCTGCTTGGGAGGCTGAGGTGGGAGCCAGGGGCTTTTTTTTTTTTTTTTTTCTGTTTTCTTTTATTTTGAGACGAAGTTTTGTTCTTGTTGTCCAGGATGGAGTGCAATGGAGCAATCTCAGCTCACTGTAACCTCCGCCTCCCAGATTCAATTGATTCTCCTGCCTCAGCCTCCCAAGTGGCTGGGATTATAGGCGCCCGCCACCACGTCCGGCTAAGTTTTGTACTTTTAATAGAGACGGAGTTTTACCATGTTGGCCAGGCTGGTCTCAGACTCCTGACCTCAGGTGATCCACCCGCCTCGGCCTCCCAAAGTGCTGGGATTACAGGTGAGAGCCACTGCGCCTGGCTAATTTTTGTATTTTTAGTAGAGACAGGGTTTTGCCTTGTCACCCAGGCTGGTCACAACCTCCTGACCTCCGGGGATTTGTGGAAGGCGGGTGTTCTTGAGGGTGCGCTGTGA